GCTTCTTGAAATAGTACCATCTGGCCAACAAGCACCTCTGATCCTAGTAGAACATCCAAAGAACAATTTCCTCCCATGGGAATGCCTCAACAATACCCTCATAAACAGACAAAGAGCTATGTCTACAGACAGTCTAGTTCATCCATCATACAAGACGAAAAAGGGCATCCTTTATCCCTCTGTCCCACCATCCATTCATCCTAAATGGTGGGACACATCTCACTGAGTAGATTTCCTAGTGCAGCTTGGATGCTGACCACTCATGAAACGAAAATCCCAGTGGGAAGGACAGAATCGTTCTTTCAAATGAAGCATCAACCCACCCTGTAGTTGGCAAGCAGAGTGCTAGTTTCCAGCCACATGGAGTTGAAAGGGCACAGTCTGGGGGTTAAGTGAGGCAGTCCTGGGAGCTGAGCAGCTGGGCCTGGAGCCTTATGCCTGGGCTCGCATTCCAGCTCCAGACTGCCAGCAGCACAGTCTTGGGTAAATTGTCTGACCTCTCTCAGCATGGAGTTTGGGGCACCAACTGCACACGGTTGTTCTGAGGATTCACGGAGCTAATACATTAAAGGGATCCCACTCCAAACAGCACCTGGCACATAAGAAGCCTTCCATTGATGCTAGGCATCACTCCACTATCTCTTCATAAGGATAAGAGAGTCAAGGTTTGCTAAAGGTTGTTTTTAATTACGGTAAAGTGCCCACAACATGAAATTTACCATGTTGAACATTTTAAGTATATAATCAGTAGTGTTAAGTATATTCACATTGTTGTGCAACCGATGTCCAGAACTTTTTCATCTTCCCAAACTGAAACTCTATACTCATTAAACAACTCCTCATTTTCCCCTCCCCCCAGCCCTTGGCAATCACCATTCTACTTTCTGTCTCTATGAATCTGACTACTCTATATATCTTACATACATGGAGTCACACAGTATCTCTCCTTTTGCAACTGGCTTATTACACTCAGCATGATGACCTCAAGCTTCATCCATGCTGTAGCATGTGTCAGAATTTCCTTCCTTTTAATGGCTGAATAATATTCCATTGTGTGCATGCACCACATTTTGTTTATCCATTCATCTTTGATGGACACTTGTGTTTCTTCCACCTCTTGGCTGTTGTGAATTAAAGGTTGGTTTTTAACAGGACAAAAAAGGGAAACTCTCTGAAGGTCTAAATATCTGGGGCAGATATGTATCCATTTCTGAGCCCAGCTGGGAAAGGACTCTGTGGCAGTGCCATATCCTCTATGGCCACAAGGAGGTCATTGACTACCCAATGGGAACATGCAGAGTTGAGCCTGAGCAGAAGACCAGGACACCCTAAAATCAGACACCAAGAGATGATCCAAATCTAACTCTCGACAGTTACAACAAGGAACTAAGAGAGGAAGGAGCACCAAGGAAAACTCAAGAGCTAAGAGCTACAAGTTATGAGGATGCTAGCACAGTGTGAAGAGCATCTCAGGTTGCAACAGGAGGAGACAGGTCACTCCAGTGGAAGCTCAGACATCCCCAGAGCTTAGCAGCATGCAGTGATCTAGAGAGCCCTCCTTTTCCTTCCCTCTGGAAAGATGCAACTGTCTCCCCAGGATCAGGATGGATGGCTTTCCTGATTCAGCTGAGCACACAATAGGAGGGGATGTTACTACTCAAGTGCTAGGTGACAGAACCAATGCCCATGGGCCGGCTACTTCCATCACACCAGGCCTTGATGAGGTGGACGTAGGCTTCCAGGGGTTTGGGGTGGGGATGGGAGAGGGGAGGTACAATAGACCATGTACTTACAACTTAGACAAAGAGAACTTGCCAGATCTTAGTGAAGTGCACTCCCTGGTATGTAAATTTCTATTACGAGGGAGGTTCTTAAAGGAACTAGCACTGACTCACCATACTGATAACCAGTACATAACCTGGTAAAGGAGAGTACATGTCCAGAAACCAGAGACTAAACAAAAACCAACCAGAGACTATGCTAGCATGACAAGCTCTTGGTCAGTGAATTGCAGGAGATAAATGTTTTTCTCTTAACATTTGAACTGACTCTACTGACACGCAATGATATTTTCTCAGCAGCTGCTGCTTCTGAACAGTAAAAGTGGCAACTAACTAAACTGAAGTTGTGCTAGAAATCAGACTTTAGGATTAGCTTCAATTCACTTGAGAAGGCTGAGTGTTTTAATTAACTTGGCGGTGTATTTAAGGCCCAGAGAAGACTCCCTCTCCCCCCGCCCCGAGTCCTAAGCATTAGGGCCCAGCATGCCTTCACCAAGTCATCTCCCCCAAGCCAGGCTCAGCATCTCTGCCAACACCAAGCACTTCAGGCCTTTCCGACTCACTGTACGTGACCAGCTGACACATTGAACATCTTCTGAGTCTTGCAGTGGGCGTGCCCCTCCACTCCTGAGGTGGGAGCATCCTCTTCCTTCTACTTTGTGATCTGCCATGCTACATCACAGGCCTTGCACGTAAAAGACCATACAGAGGCCACTGATGGAGATGAGTCTTCCAAATGGCTCCCGGTAAATAGCTGGGTCTCCACTCCTGGGAGGCCTGGAGAAGAACGGTGAACTCTGATGCTCCTATTCTTTCTGGGCCTCTGCCTTCTCCATGGCCTGGTTTCTCCCTCTTACCCAAACCCAGTGGGATCATGTTCTCTCCTCCCTCTCAACTTTCAAAATCCGTCTTTGGTAGGGGATCTGCCAAGGTTCTTTCTAACAAGGTATAAACAACAGATAAGACTACACCTCCCCAGGAAGGGCTGCAAAGTGAAAAGGAAATAAGAATTTATTTTTAAAATTCTAAACTTTGAGACAGGACTAGTTGGCTAGATGGAAGAGATGGTGACTTTGTGTGTGTGTGAGGAAAGCGCACAAAGGTGGACAGCTGGACAGTGAGGGGCAGGTGGTCTCTGGAAGCATCCATCAATCATGCCATGGACGAGGCCTGCTCTCTCCTGCCTCCTATAAAATGAAGGCATTTCTAGGGCTATGTATGTTTTTCTCCTTGACCTATTCAAGGTGGGTCTCTAAAAGTTTTACATTGCCCCAAGAAATAACTGGCCAGGTCTATTCTGCCCATATTTGACCCTATTCAAATTATTCTAAGACAGAGAAGTCACTTGCATTACTATTGAAATAAGACCAAAAAGTTTAATTTTTTTAAAAAGGTTTTGCACAAGGAATTGTAACCTAAAATCTCCCACCTTGAAACAAACAGACAAGAGTTTAATGTAAAGAAAAATACACTCATACTGTGCACCTTTTGTTTATGAAATGGTTACATTTCTCAAAATGTACATACAAAGCAATATTGCTCTATCCTTGATTTATAATATGAACTAGGACGCCTGATTTTATGGAGGAAACTCCACTTAATTGGCATGCACATGGATGAGGAACTTCAGTAGCAGCCTACTGAGCCCGCAGGTCCTCTGCCGACACCAGCAAAGCCCTGCTGCACACCTGGGCCGGCCTTGGCCCTCAGAGAACCGCAGGACAACGTTCGCTCCTTCTAGTCACCCTCACGTCCAGCTGGAGCTGAAGATGCGCATCTAGAGCACAGGGATCTAAAAATGTGTATTTTGAAAGTGTGTAATACACATGTGATAAACTGCTCGCCTTTTTACAAATAGGGAACAGATGATTCTAAGATTATTTTCTAGTGACACAAAGTATCTTCCCTTCAGTTTATATCCATTTTAATACTTCTTAATTTACCTAGTCTCTATAAATATCTAAATATGAATTTAAATTTCAAAAAATTAGAAGAATATTTTAAATTGCACGGAAGTTTTTAAATAAAAATAAAAGATGCCTCAGACAGAAAAATGGCCATAGACATTAAAAATGCTGCCTAGTGATTAGGCTAGATTTTAAGAAAATTATTCAATTAATCCCAAAAGCTACAGAAGTAACTCAAATAAAATTTTAATTAAGAGAAATTTTACCACCTTTATCTCCTTGAAAATAACTCACTTTTCCAAGTTGATTATGGTAATACCCCAATGGTCTAAGATTTGCAAGATATACTAGAATAAACTGAGTTAAGACTCATTTTGAATGTGTCCTTTTCTAAAATATAGTATTTATTTCTCCAAGTCTGTTTTTATACCCATCCAATAATTTAAATGATGGAACTTTTGAATCAGATCCAGATAAAGGAGGACATACAGGGCCAAGCTCTTTCTGATATGGGATGGGGAGGGAGAGGGCGGGAGAGAGGCTCCCACAGGCTCCTGCGGCAGAAACTTGCATCCAACAGGAGACAAGGGCACTCGAAACAGCGCCTCGGAAACAGGATCTTTGATAGGGAAGGGAAGGAGGTGAAAACAACAAACAAACAAAGAAAATCTGTTGCTAACACTTAAGCATGAGCCATTCCTGGAAATCCTCTTTCATCACCCTTCCCACAGGACATCTGCCTGAAAAGCTGAATGTGAATCCATGTTTATACAAGAAGTCACATTATAAATGAGGGCAGAGCGAGGGATCCTGAAATGAATTTCTTCTTAAATCCTCCAACGACTGGTCATCTGAGTTTAAGATTCTGACGTCACTTCCTTTAAATTGTATTTCCTAAAGTAACAGTGTGTGACTTCCTTCTGAAAGAGGAGCACAGGCACACTTCTTCATCACCTATTCTGCTCCTATTTGACACCCTCCTTTATCTTACTTTTGTTCCTCATTAAGTGTTTTAATTTGTTCCTCCACTGTCAGCACCACACAGTTCTTTCATTCATCAGAATGTTAACAATGGGATTCCCAGGCAACGCTGCCAGGACACCAGACCTACACTGCGGGGAGGCTTAGAACTCATGCCCTCTACAAACCAGTGACAAGCCTGGAGATGAACACCAAATCCATCAAAGAAAATGCAGAGCTGTTGCTAAGAGAGTAGATCTTTAAAGTTCTCATCACAAGAAGAAAAACAAATTATTGCGGTGATCATTTCACAATATATACAAATATCAAATCATGATGTTGTACACCTAAATTAACACAATGTTATATTTCAATTATAGCTCAAATAATAAAACATAAAAACTAAAATAAAATAAAATGCAGAGTGGACTCTCCCTTCGCCAGCCTCCACGGACTGGCCTCCCCAATCCTCTCTCTGACTCTTTCAGACTAGATTCTAGAACTGGTAGCTACCTAGAATTCTCTAGATAGTAGACTGTTGAGTTCTCATGAGTCTGTCAGCCAAGATGGAGTGACCACTGTGACCCATGTTCCTTTCATAAACATCACAGCCACCATCGGACGGCATGAGGGGGATTATGTAAGGTGAAAACACCAACCCTCGGGAAGCTGAACTCAATTTGTTTTAGACTTCCTCATGATCTTCCTCAGACCTCAGCACAGTGCTCGGTGAGTGTGGTCGGTTCATGGCTTCTCTGTCCTTGGGTCATATTTAAAACTGTAAATGGGAGTTTGGAAGATGGCAGCATAGGAGGACCCTGAACTTAACTCTTCCCACGGACACAACAAATCTACAAATACCTGTGGAACAATTCTCTCTGACAGAGATCTGGATAAAAAGAACCCCTACAACAAGGGACAATACTGACAGGGTGGAAGAGCCAGAAATACAGCTCCACAGGGGAAAAAACATACCCTAGTCATGGTGTTTCATGGCTGGGAGTGATCTCAAAGATACGAAGCTTCCTGGAAGGGGGGTGGATCTGAGCGACACAGTGGCCCTCCCAGCCCTTGGATTCAGCATAACTGAGGCGAGATGCTATAATATCTGGCTTTGCCGGCTTTGAAAACCAATGGGGAACCTGCCCAGTTAAGCTATATAACTTCAGAGAAAGAAAAACCTGCTCTTAAAGGGCTCTCTCACAGATTTATCTGAGTTGGAAACCAGCACAAAAACACCAGATAGAGAAGGGTATAGTTCATTGGTAAAAAGAGATTCATTTACTAAGCTTGGAGTGCATCTCACAGAGGCAGGAGGTGGCTGGGCCCACCCCTCCAGGGACTGAGACTGGCAGCATGCCATTATTGTGACCTAGTTCAGTTGTGCTGACACAGATGCTGGCAGCCGCCATTGGATTTCATCCTCTAGCCTGTTAGCTACAGGGATCTGCTCTGCCCACTACAGCACCAACTTAATCCAGCAAGCTAGAGCATGCAGCTCACCGTAGGGACTGGTTCCAGCCACCAGAAAGCCTGCCGGGAACTTGTGGGCTTGCCTAGGTGGAGGTTGTGTGACCTCTGTGGTGAGGCAGGTGGGCCCACAGCAGACTTGTGCCAGTGACCATCACAAACAGCCATACAGGGGATCTGCCTCATCTTCAACACCTGGAGTAATTATGTGCTACCCTGCCTAGGGCTGGCTGTACCCATCAGCGATCCAGAGGCAGCTGTCTACCACAGAACAGCACAGCCAGAATGGGCCATAGGCCTGCCCCATCCAAAAGAGAGCCACAACAGCTGTGCATTGCAGGGAGCTGCACCAACCATCTTTTCTGATCACAATGGTATGAAACCAGAAATCAATTACAAGAGGAAAACTGGAAAAGCCACAAATATGCAGAGATTAAACAAAATGCTACTGAACAACTATTGAGTCAATGAAGAAATAAAATGAGAAATCAAAAAATACCTGGAGACAAATGAAATACAACATACCAAAATTAACAGGATACAGCAAAAGTGGTCCTAAGAGGGAGGTTTACAGCAATAGAAGCCTACCTCAAGAAACAAGAAAATCTCAAATAAACAATATAACAATATATCTAAAGGGAATAGAAAAGAAGAACAAACATAGCCCAAAATCAGCACAAGGAAGGAAACAATAAGAATCAGAGCAGACATAAATGAAATAGAGACTAAAGAAACATTAGAAAAAAAAAATCAATGAAACTAAGAGCTGGTTCTTTGAAAAGATAAACAAAGTTGACAAACTGTTAGCTAGACTCACCAAGAAAAAAAGAGTAGGACTCAAATAAAATCAGAAATCAAAGGGGAGAAATTACAATGGACTCCACAGAAATACAATGTATTACAAGAGAATAATACGGAAAGCTAAATGCCAGCAAATTGTATAATCTAGAAGACACAGATAAATTCTTAGAATCATACAACCTTACAAAACGTGAATCAAGAGGAAATAGAAAATCTGAATAGACCAACCACTGGTAAGGAGATTGAAAAAGTAATCAAAACCTCCCAAAAAACAAAAGTCCAGGACCAGATGGCTTCCCTGCTGAATTCTACTAAACATTCAAAGAAGACTTAACACCTATGCTTCTCAAACTCTTCCAAAAAATTGAAGATGAGGGGAAGATTCCTAACTTATTCTATGAGGCCAATACTACCCTGATACCAAAACCAGACAAGGACAACACAAAGAAAGAAAATTACAGGCCAGTATGACTGCTGAACAAAGATCTAAAACTCCTCAACAAAATACTAGCAAATCGAATACAAGAATACATTAAAAAGATCATGCACCACGATCAAGTGGGATTTATTCCAGGGACGCAAGGATGGCTCAACATCCTCAGATTAATCTACACATTAACAAAATGAAGAAGAAAACTCACAAGATCATCTCAATAGATGCAGAGAAAGCATTCAACAAGATACAGCATCCATTTATGACAGAAACACTGAATAAAATAGGTATAGAAGGAAAATACCTCAACACAATAAAGGCCACATATGACATACCCACAGCTATCATACTTAACGGTGAAAAACTGAAAGCTATCCCTCTAAGAACAGGAATAAGACAAGGATGCCCACTTTTACCATTCTTGTTTAACATAGTATTGGAAGTCCTAGCCAGAGAAATCAAGCAAGGAAAAGAAATAAAAGTGATCCAAAGTGGAAAACAAGTGAAACTGTCACTATTTGCAGATAACATGATTTTACATATAGAAAATTCTAAAGAATCCACCAAAAAGACTATTATAAATAATCAATGAATACAGTAAAGTTGCAGGGCACAAAATTAGTTGCGTTTCTATACACTAACAACAAAATAGCAGAAACAGAAAGTAAGAATACAATCCCATTTACAATTCCAACACCAAGAATAAAATAGCTAGGGATAAATTTAACCAAAGGGGTGAAAGAACTGTACATTGAAAACTATGAAACATTGTTTAAAGAAATCAAAGGAGGGGCCGGCCCCATGGCCATGTGGTTAAGTCCGCACATTGCACTTTGGCAGCCCAGGGTTCGGATCCTGGGCGCAGACATGGCACTGCTCATTAGGCCATGTTGAGGCGGTGTCCCACATACCACAACTAGAAGAACCCACAACTAAAGTATACAGCTATGTACTGGAGGGATTTGGGGAGAAAAAAGCAGGAGAAAAAAAGAAAAGATTGGCAACAGTTGATAGCTCAGGTGCCAATCTTTAAAAAAAAAAAAAATCAAAGGAGACACAAGGAAATGAGAAGATATTCTGTGCTCATGGATTGAAAGAATTAACATAGTTAAAATGTCCATACTTCCTAAAGCAATCTATAGATTCAATGCAATCCCTACCAAAGTCCCAAGGACATTTTCCATGGAAATAGAACAAAGAATCATGAAATTTATATGGAACAACAAAAGACCCCAATAGCCAAAGGAATCTTGAGAAACAAAGAATAAAGCTGGAGGTTTGCACTCCCTGACTTCAAAATATGCTACAAAGCTATAGTAATCAAAACAGCATGATACTGGCACAAAAACAGACAGACAGATCAATGGAACAGAAATGAGGGTCCAGAAGTAAACCCACACATATACGGACAGCTAATTTTCAACAAGGGAGCAAAGAGCATACCTTGGGGAAAGTACTGTCAGTAAATGATGTTTGGAAAACTGGACAGCCACATGCAAAAGAATGAAAGTAGGCCATTATCTTACACCATATACAAAAATTAACTCAAAATGGATTAAAGACTTGAATGTAAGAGCTGAAACCATAAAACCCCTAGAAGAAAATATAGGCAGTATACTCTTTGACATCCGTCTTAGTAGTATCTTTTTGAATACCATGTCTCCCCAGGCAAGGGAAAGAAAAGAAAAAAAAATAAACAAATGGGACTACATCAAACTAAAAAGCTTCTGCAAAGCAAAGGAAACCATCAAAGAAACAAAAAGATGACCTAAAACTTGGGAAAAGATATTTGCAAATTATATATCTGATAAGGTGTTAATATACAAAATATATAAAGAACTCAGAGAACTCAACAACAAAAACAAACAACCCAATTAAAAAATGGCAAAGGATCTGAACAGACATTTTTCCAAAGAAGATATACAGATGGTCAACAGGTACATGAAAAGATATTCAACATCATTAACTATTAGGGAAAAGCAAATCAAAACTACAATGAGATAATACCACATGCCTGTCAGAATAGCTATAATTAAAAAGACAAGAAATAACAAGTGTTGGAGAGGATGTGAAGAAAAGGGATATTCATACACTGCAGGTGGGAGTGCAAACTGGTGCGGACACTACGGAAAACAGTATGGAGACTCCTCAAAAAATTAAGAATATAAATACCATAGGATCCAGCTATTCCACTTCTGGGTATTAATCCAAAGGACACGAAAACATCAATTCAAAAAGATATCTGCACCCCTATGTTCACTGCAGCATTATTCACAATAGCCAAGACCTGGAAACAACCTAAGTGCCCATCAATGGATGAACGAATAATGAAGATGTGGTGTGTGTGTGTGTGTGTGTGTATGTGTGTGTGTGTATACAATGGACTACTACTCAGCCACAAAAAAGATGAAATCTTGCCATTTGCGACAACATGGATAGAACTTGCAGGTATTACACTAAGTGAAATAAGTCAGATGGAAAAAGCCAAGTACAATATGATATCACTCATATGTGAAAGATAAAAACAACAACAAACAAACACATAAACAGAGATTAGATTGGTGGTTACTAGGGGGTGGGGGGAGCAAAAGGGGTGAAAGGGCAGATGTGTATGGTGACAGATGGTGATTAATCTTTGGGTGGTGAACATGATGTGGTCTACACAGGAATCAAAATATAATGATGTACACCTGAAATTTACATAATGTTATAAACCAAGGTTACTACTACAAAAATAAATTAAAAAATAAAAGCTGTAACTGTATTTAAAGGTCACTTCCTATAACTGCCTTCAATCTCTATGTATCCCTCTCCCAACTTAATTAAAAACTACTTTGTGGATAGTGGAAGCTGTTAGCCAAATAATATTTCTAAAACTACTAATAAACTAAATCACAGCATCCATGTGAAACCTGAATCAACCTGAGTATTTTATTCTATTTCAGACCCTGCTATTTAGAATTTGCCAGATTCCTTTGCCTAAAAATAAATGTTTAAAATGCCTAATGTAATTAAAAGAGGGATAATCCTAGCTACCTCAGACAGCTGTTGTGAGGACTAAATGAGAAAATACCTGTAAGATTGCCTGGGATGCTGCTGGGTGTATAGTAAGCATTTGGCTGATTTACGCATGTCTACTTTTACAATGATTCTCTGGGAAAAGAGTCAAGCAGTGACGCTGTGGCCTTTCCTGAATCTCCTCTTTACCAAGTTATTACTGACTAAAGAAATAATAATAAATAGCACCCCCTAGGGCCTCATTTATTTCACCCACACGCTACGTTGATCCACGTGGAGGAAGGTCTTCATTTCTGAGAGGTTGGAGTAACATGGTCAGAAGTTTGGCCACACATGGGCTCACCCATGGAAGAAAACAATCAAGAATGAGCATGTTCTAAGAAACGACTGGTGGCTGGAGAAGGGAAAATCCCCTTGCTGAGTCCTACTTCCTACTGGCAAGGACAAAGGGTCCACCGGTCCCAGGGTGGAGAGAACGGGACTCACAGTGAGTCCTAGCCAGCCGTGAGCCAGGCACTCAGGGCATGTAATCTCATGAAATTCTGACAACCACATATAAAGGTGGGTGGACTCATCCCCTGGGCCCTGGGAGGTTACCTCACTCAGCCAAGGTCACACAGTTGACCAGCCGTGGTTCCATGGTCCCTGCTCTGTCCCCTGAGCTCCTGCAGAGCGTGAGAAGCCCACATTGTGTAGACAGAGAAGTATCTGGACAACCAGTGGCCTGGACCCCAAGGCTGGCATGTAGCCATCTCTCTACCAAGAGTCTGGTGGCTATTTTTACTCCTTGCTCTGACACACCCACAATTGAAAGGAATTTTGCAATGTGCTCTGGAAAGCTATGCAGCTTAGCTGAGACGCTGGGACTTCATCTTGCACAGTAGTGGCAGCTGTCCAGTCGGACCCAAGCACAAAGGCGGGAGTGTTCCAGGCAGCGCGCCTAAGACTCTGGTCATTTAAATTGACTGACTCCCCCTTTGAACCACCCTGGGTACTTTTTACGTGACTAAGAACGAATTAACATTCTCCATCTACATATACTCGAGTGAACCAAAGGGCTGAGGCTGAGGCACAAAAGGTCCGGCCGTGACATTCCCTGCAGGAGCCCCACTCCAGTCATACTTTTCTCAGGATCTTTTGAAAGCTAACTCTCAGTACCACAAGCAAGCCTTTGTGTGTCAGAAAAAGCCCACTGTTTGGGCCTTTCAGTATACACAATGACTGGCGGGCAGTATCCAATTTTAGAATGCGATGGAAAGGCAGTGACCACACCAACATGCTTCTGCATTTTCACTTAGAGGTTAGACTCCCATGGAAAAGAAACCATGGGAGCTGGCCCACTAGCAGCAGCATCACTTGGCATCAGTACTCACTTTTAATCATCTCAATGAGACCCACATGCACTCCTTCCGGCATACAGATAATTTCGAGTGTGTTCCTTACTCACAATGCTCTCATCAGGGGGTAAGGCCAGTATCACCATCACCATGTACCAGCGGGGAAATGAAAGCTCAGAGAAGCTGTGAGATTTGATGAAGGTCACCAACTGGTAAGATGACAATAGGTGTCCTAATGAGAAGATTCATTACTTCACTGAATCATTTAACTCGAAAATATTTCCTCTCTGACATCCTGTTTCCCTAAGTTATTTAAAGTGAATGATTATCGCTTTTCTTAGACATGGGGTTTTACATACAGGACCAGAGCAGAGTTAAGCTTTCCTTTATAGATTTACCTATTCATTCATTATATTGTATATAACAGACAAGATTTTAAGAGGGATTGAGGAAGCCCAGGAGAACAGAACCTAAACAAGGGTAAGTTCAGTACATGCTACTGCAAACCTTTCAGCTCCCACAGCAGCAAGCCAAGGCTCTGAGCTCCCCAGTGGTCCTAGCAAAGATGAGAAGCAGAGCCAGATGCCAAGTTCCCATGTCCTAAGATAAAAGAAGTCGGTGACCCAGAGCACCACTTGTCTTCAGGCCCTCAGGGTGAGGAAACAGTGTTAAGTAGTGAATTATGTACCTAATGACATGCTGAAAAGCCAAATACACCATAACAGCTTTCCAACAGCTGCTTCTCTCCTCAATAAACCGATTCTACGACACCAAAGCAAGGCTCGATCCTATTCAGAGCCCAAACAACGCAGTCAAATATGCAACTCTCTTCTGGTTTGTCTTGATTGAGGATAAAAGATGGCACCTCCACAGCACCAACAATGTTTTATAAAATAGGGATTTTGGTCTATTCAGAATACTGTTAAGCAATATACGAAGGTTTATTCTATACAAGAAAGGTAGATATAAACAATATTTCTGTTGAACTCGCTTTCATTTGAGAACAAGTAATTTACTCTAGGTTTATTACAGATAAATCTATAAAATGTACACATATCTATACAATGTATATAGACATATTTCAGTTAAAACTATGTTTTCTAAAAATATTACTAATATTTTACATTAATCACCCAAAATATGAAAGCAAAGAAACTAGAGCCAGTTTAATGTTTAGCAAAATAATTTAATCTGAAGAAAAACAGATACATTAAGAAAAGTACTAAAAATTTGCTCAAATCTGATTAAATCTCTCCCTCTATTCCTTAAGAGAAGCTTGTCAGTCACAATCAATAATCAATGAGAAACATTTTGATTAACGAAATTAAACTTTAAAGCTAAGCTCTCAGGATATTGTGTTTTCATTACAACAAAGGAAATGCATTATTTATTTACCTGCAACATAATGAACTTATTGGTCATTTTTGAAATTACTTTTCCTGCAAATAAGATAGCACTTTTTGAAAAGTATTCATTTATAAGTAGGAACAACACTTTTAGTCACTATTGTTACTTAACTAATGAAGATAGTGACAATGTACTATACTAAATAAAGGGATCATGTTATTACTTAAAAGAGTACAATTCTTTAACAGTTAAAACCATATAGCTTATTTAAACATCTGAAACAAATTATAAAATGGCTCTTGTACATTTTATTTCTAGAACTGTATAACACCTAAGATTTGCATTGAAAAGGGAAAAAGATTGTCTAATCTTTATTCTCTTCTTTATTCAAAGGGCATTTATTGTTTGTCTTCTGTGGGTCAGGCTCTGAGACAGAGTCTGGATATCGCCAAGTGAGGATGACATGGTCCCTTCCTGGCACCAGTCCACTGCTGGTGGGAAACAGAGACAGAAAAACACCTATGAGATTACACACCTGTGCTATGATAAAGACTCACATAAAATGCTCTTGAAGCTCAAGAGAAGAGGATCAGCGCTCTGCCTGAGGAGGAAGGGGCAGGCTGAGCTAAGTGACAGAGAAGTGTCAAGCAGAGGGAAGGGTACCTGCTAAGAGGAGAAGACATGAAAGGCCTGGGGGCATGAAGAGCTGGGATGGCAGGGACGTCAGGCTAAGGGCTGACAGTGTGTGTGGGGCAGAGGCGGAAAGGGCACAGATACCAGGTACAAGAGCCTGGACATGATCTCAGAGGTCACAGGAAACCCAAAGAGGGCTCCAGGCAGGGCAGTAACAGGATGGCGTTTGCACAATTCCCTGGAGGTGGGAGGAGAGTACGTTTAGTTCACATTCCGCCTTTGCTGAGGACCTTCTAAGGCCATCCCATAAACTTTAGAAAAGATTCACACCCACTTTCACACTGCCTGGCTCTCCTACCTCACCTCCCACCATTCTCCCCAAAGCTTGCCTATTCCAGCCACACCGACTGCCTTCTCACTCCACATGCATGCCTTGTTCAGCCCCAGCCCAAGACATTTGCATGTGCTGCCCCACACCCTGGCATGGCTCACTCCTATCTTCATTGAGGCCTATGCACAATAAAACAACAAGGAAGTTTCCCTGACAGCAGATCCAAAACAGCAACCCTTAACAACTCATTACTCATCTCAGCTATCATTCCTGAAATTATATTACCTGTTTAAGTATTTACTATCTACCACTCCCACTGGAATATAATGTATTGGTTTATTTATCATATTAATGGCTATATTCCCAGGTATAAAACACTGGTGAATAATATATCCACAATAAATATCTATTAAATGAATGAAGGAAGATGAGACTAGAGTTAGGAAATTACTGCAAAAGTCAAAAATACCAATGCTGGTTCCGTCTGAACTAAGAAAATGTCAGTGTGACAAAATACTTAGGTGGAAGAGTTGCTGTGGCGAGTTAATAAAGGAATTCAAGATGACTTACACACTTCCCCCTTGCTTGACAGGAAGGATGGCAGGGTCCCATTCACCAAGTTGAGGCGCACACTGAAGGACTGAGAGGGTGGAACAGAAGTCCAGTTTGCGGTACGGAGAGTTGGAAGCTCCTGTGTGGCATCCATTTGGAGAGGTCTTGGAAAAGGAAGTCCAGAGCTGCTCAGGGGAGAGGTGATGGGATGGAGCTACAGATGGCGATGGAGGGGAGCCCACCGAAGTCGTAAGAACACTAACCCTAGAGGCACTGCCAGCGGTGAGCCAGAGAGCAGAGTGGGCTCTCTGCACATCTGACTGCACAGCACCTTGACTAACAGGTAGGTGACCTGCTCCAGAAGCATCCCCCGGGGGAATTGTCCAGCATGGGAGGAGATGCAAGAGGCAGAGGAGACCTGGGGACACCCCAACATTTAAGGTGTGGGTAGAAGAAAGGACCTTTCAAAGGAGTCTGAGAAGAAACAGAAAGAAGGCAGGAAAACAGAGAGGGAGTCCTGGTCCAAGGAGACCCACAGAGGACACTGCTGGAAGAAGGAGTCATTTGGTCACACACTGAGGAGAGAGCCGGTGAAACAGGGCCTGAGGGACAGTGTCACCAGGGGGGTCATACGGGAAAGAGCAGGCAGTCTGAGACAACGGCGCAAAGGCTTGGTCATGAAGGGCTGGGACGAGCGCTCTGGAGGGACCAGGACCAGGGCAAGCACGGAGGCGGCTGGGCCTGTGCACCAGCACACAAGCGGGACCCACACTCTCCTCTTCCTCACCCCCAACACAAGTCTGAAAACAAAAAAGCAAATTATTTAAGCGATGAACGTACACTCAGACGTACTTGTGCTAACACGATACGGAGTGACAGGGAATCCTGTCCTGCCGAGTGGCGCATCCTGGGACACAGGATGGATAAGAAGCCGTCCCTCCTGGGGAAGAGGACCAGCAGAGCGCCCCAACCTGGCTCCCGGAGCCACAGGCCGGGCGGGCCAGCAGCCCTGACTCCCTGAGGTCTGGGGTCTGCCCAAAGCCCAGACCTTGCAGGCTGCTACACTTGGGGCTGCACTGTCGTGGAAACAGGGAGCAAATCAATTGTTTTTTTAAGCAGGAGGATAAAAGGTCCGATGGGTACGTTTCAAATATTATTTTTGGCAGCAGCATGAGCGTGGATGAGAAAAGTCTGAGGCTCAAGGCAAGGAAATAAGAATTGCATTTCAGGACACCAGGACAGTGCTGACAAGGGCCTGAACTGGAACCAAGGCAGGACAGAGAGGAAGGAGAAGACGGCAGCCACACAGGAGCCCCCATGTCCATCCAGGCCCCAGGAAGCAGATGGGGTGGAGGCTGAGGACAGCCGGGTCTGAGAGCTCAGTTTGCCCATCAACGCCTTCCTCTCCCAGCAAGATCTTGCACCTGGGCCTTATCACCCATCAAGGTGTCCCAGCTGTCCCGAATGCTGTGCCATGCCCATTATGTCACTTCACTACCTGGGCCACAAGAGGAGGGGCACAGAGTTGATCTCCAAGGTCCCTCCAACCCCAGCTTGGATCCTTGTCTGCTGCAGATCCACACAGGATGGTGAGGCCTGCGCCCCACAGGACAGGCCACATTGGCCACCCTAAACAGGATCTCAAATGAGTCAGGCAGCCAAGACTTTTGCATACTTACTATTTGGAGGTTTAGGGATTGAGCATGAAGGAGCTGATGACAAAAACAAGCTAGGAAAATATGTTTATAATGGCATCTATAACTTCTTCATGGACAAGAACACCTTTTTTTTGGTAGGTAAACTAATCTAAATGTCTTTTCCACACAGCAGCTGAGGTCCCCACTTTAGCGGCAAACTGTGGGGCCCACGCCTTGGTGCTCGCAGCTGAAACGCCAGCACCTGCGAGGGTAAAGGGATTCCCCAGGTGTGGGTGTAGGGCTAACTGGTTTCCGTTCCAGCCAGCCTGCCTGCAAGTTCAAGGGCTGACTGGGCAGACTAGGAGAGAGAACTGGCCGGACTGGTTTGGTTGGATTGTATTGCTGATGGTGACACAATCCTAATGTCACTGAAACTTTTTTGGCAACTACCAAACATTTCATAATGATTCCCTATGCAGAGAGCAGTTTGACACAAGGAGCATTACCCTTATTTCAAACTTCAAACAGGGGAAAGGAGACAACTAATATCTGTGGAATGCTGATAACTAATACTTGTGGAATGCTAACTATGAGTAAGCGCCCGTGGTGGGCACTTGAACATTGTGTCTCATTAAACTCTCATGACAGCCCACAAGGGAGGTGCTATTACCCCCATTTTTATAAAAGCTAAAACTGAGACTGAAATTCAGTAACTGTCAAAAGACAACCTAACTAGTAAGGGATGGAGTAAGGTCTGTCTTGAGCCTCACCATCATGAGATGCTTTTCAGATCTGAATCGCAGCTTCCCCAGACTCTCAGAATCACTGGATCAATGGTCTGCACCCAAGGCCATTCCAAGGGGATCTATTCATCACAGTAACAGCAGAAACAACTCAAACACCCACCACTGGAAAGCTGTTTAAATAAACTATGACGGAGTACTATGCAGCTGGACAAAAGAGTGAGGATGCTCTGTGTAAAGGAAACTGTTTTACATAACTGCTAAACATAATATAATTCTTAAAAAAGTCTCTAAAGCCTGAACCAAAATGAACCAAATGCTTTTAATTGTACATTAATTTGGTAACATCAAAACACCCTAGTTGGGGTAGAAAGTGAATGGGATATAGTGTGAAAGAAAATATGCCCTGTTGAACAGTATAAGGAGGGTCCATTATACTGTTCTCTCTGGTAGGCAGACAGATAGATAGACAGACAGACAGACAGATATGTACGTGTGTGAGAAATTAAATTTCATATATATAAATGCATTAAATGTCCCATGAGTAAATGTTCTTTTTCATGGTGCAGATTGAAGAGGCCCTAGAAGTCAAGTCTCATTTTCCTTCCAGTCCCAGGATGCACAGAAGGCCTCTCTGTCGTCTGCAGGTCAATCACAGCTTTTGTTTCTAATCCGAAGTCCTCCTGCAAAGGCATGTGACACTGGCCCAATGCTCAACAACTAATGGCAGCACTTCTAATGCCCCACTCAGGAAATCCAGGCATGGTTCATCCACAAAGTGGAGCCTCAGAGGAATTTCTTACCCTTCTTTCTACTTTCCCGGGCCTTTGACAGTCACACACCCCTCTGTTTCAGCCTCACGGTGGTTTTCCAAGGCCAGTAGTGTCTGCACCTCCACTTCAAAGGCACAGGCACGAGGGATGAAGGGTTAAGCAGTTCTATAAACAAAGGAGACTAGACAAACTGGGGCCCAGAGAGCCCCAGAGTAGGGCTGCTCCCCCAGCTGCCAACCCCAGGGCACTGGGCATGCCAACAGGGAAACCCCAGGGCAGGGTGGCAAACACAGCTGGCAGCCTGGAGGATCAGAGTGGAAGGATCACCAGGCAGTGGCTGGATGGTGACAGGCCAAGGTGAGAGTTTCCCTGTGCACCATGCTGGTGGAGGTGAAGCAGGTTGCTTTCCAGCCGTGGAAACAGAACATACCTCAGCCCAAAGATCCTAAATGTACACGTGCTCAGAGGAGAGAAGGAGGAGACGGAGTCGGGAAGAGAAGGCGACTCAGCCAAAGCTGCCCCGGGATCTCCATGGAGGAGAAGCCTGGCATGCGCAGATCCCGAAGTGCCCAGAGGAGAGGCGGGTGCAGGGAGCTCTATCAGCGGGTGGCCTATCTGTGATGCCCCCTCCGCAGCTCGGGCTCCTGCCTTCTATTCAGGAATTGGAAGTCACGCGGGCTGACTGTCCACATGGATTGGCAGGTGTTTGACCATGTGAGAAACTGTGCATCCACCAGCACATACCAAAAAAGCAGCCACGGGGTGATTTCCACTGCATGTGGCACCACACCTCTGAGTTTACAACAAAAGTCAGGGCCGAATGTGGCGCAGTGTATGGAATGTTTCCCAACCTTTTTTTTGACTCCCAACATTTCATAAGGGGATTACATATAATATCTAATTTGCAAGTCCCCTTAGGAATCATTTAACATGATAGTTAAGAATATCCATTAGCTACAAAGACAATCTTGACTTTTGTGTTAGAAATCCCCTCATATGTGGGCAAATGAACTACAAAGTGATAAATTATTTCATTTTCTATATAAAAACCAAACACATAGGAAAATGTAGACTGAAATTTATGTATTATAGGCAAAAGCTGCTCTTATAAACTGGATGTTTGACTTTTTTTCTTTATACATCAACTGACCTATTTTAAATGACAATGTCAGAAATGGCTTTTTGGGCTGCTACTTGCAAGTGCTTGTGCACCAATAACGTGGTGTGTGAAAGGACAGTCCCTATTCCCCATGAAAGGAAAGAATGAAGAGATTTTAGGACACCAGCACATATGTAGTTTCTAATGTGTTTTTTGAAGTCCTATGGACACTTAGACTAAGAGACATGCCACTTTTATTCAGATACACAACTTAGCTGTCTCGGGAGGAGAATCATAAGGCAAATTTGGAAAATGAGCCCCACTTTTCCTTGTTAACTTATATCTCAATATCAGGACCTCTTTCTTTTCTTTTTCTTTTCTTTTCTTTTCTTTTTCTTTCTTTTTTTTTTTTTTTTTTGCTGAGGAAGATATGCCATGAGCTAACATCTGTGCCAATCTTCCTCTAGTTTTTTTATATGTGGGTCATCACTAGAACATGGCTGATGAGTGGTGTAGGTCTGCGCCTGGATCTGAACCCACAAACCCTGGCCACTGAAGCAGAGCATGCTGAACTCAACCACTACGCCATGGGCCAGCCCTTGCTTCTTACTTTTTTTAACTCATGGTTTATCATGCAGCTAAGCTGATAATATGATACATGATTACAAATAAAAAGCATTTAAAATTGTACAATGGTCAAGATTTCCAGAGGGGCTTGCAATAAGGCCAGAAAGTGTCCCAGATACCTTCTCACTTTTTAAAAACCTCCATCTGCCACTATTCTTACACTGGGACACACACCTCTGCTTTGGAGACCAATCACATAGAAATTAGCAAGTGAGGGGCCAGCCTCATGGAGTAGTGGTTAAGTTCAATGCTCTCCATTTCACGAGCCCGGGTTCACAGGTTCAGATCCTGGGTGTTGAGCTACACCACTTGTCAGCCATGCTGTGGTGGTGATCCATATACAAAATAGAGGAAGATTGGCATGGATGTTAGCGCTAATCTTTAGCTCTTCCTCAGCAAAAAGAAAGAAAGAATCAAGTGAACACTTGGTGCTCTGATGTTATTGGTAGAAGGATGATGTCCTGGCCACTTTCTTCCTTTCCCTCCCAAGAGGGCAGGATATCTAGTGCTGATATTCTTGGTACCCAGAGTCACCTGGGATACCATTCCTGCCCATCCTCAACAAGGAAGCTTTCCCCTCATCCCTCCAGGAGGGCAAATTACATGTAACAGGGATCCTACTCCAAATGAGTGTTATGGAGCCAGGAATGGAAGAATGCAGCATCAACAACTCTAGTGATTTCTCTAAAAAGAGAATGCAGCAAGTATATCCTGCAGCATGGTAATCATTCACTGTGGGAGACAGCACCTCTGCAGGAGCAGGGCCCTCTGAATTTACAAACTCCCTCACTGAGTGTACCACTATAAGCCCGTAACAGCTGAGCATGCAGAAGTTACATTCCCCCTCAAAAATAGTCTTTCCGGTCACACTTTCACATAACGATAAGAAGTATTAATAATAATAGCCCCAAGTTATTAAGCATTCACTCTGTGCGAGTTGTTATATATACTTAAATAATTTGATCTACATGGTTCTACAAAGCACGTATATCATAATCTCTTTTTACAGATGAGGAATTAAGAACACGGGTGTCTTAATCAGGTTCCCTGAAAACAGAGCTTGAGTTTATCCCAGGGAAGCAAGAGGAAGGGTGAATGGAGTGAGGTGGAAAGGAGAGGAGCAGATATAAGACAGCAGGTCCCCAGCTGCCTACAGCTCTGTGACAAGCTAATTGCTCTGTGCACTTCAGGCAGGTCCTATAAAGCTACCATCTCTCCAAGGACCCATGGGGGTAGAAGGAAGAAGATTTTATTCTCACAGCAATTGGATCCTAAGTCATGTCAGACATCAGTGACCCCAGGAAAGGAGAAGAGAGATGTGTGGCACTGAAGGGAGGCCACAGATTGTCACGTTGTGCTCCGTAGTGACAAGCGACAAGATGTAGCCACTGCATGGGGTCCCTTGTCTGATCAGTCAGGCCAGAAAATTGAAGCACATCTGCAGATGAGGACGGTGCATCAGAACCTGCCTGAGGCTGCACGCCTGCACGTGGCAGCACAGGCCGCTCCTTCCCCAGAGCCCTGCTCTGCTCTTTCGACGTTTCCCCCAGGAGAACAGATAAGACTCATCTAAAACCAAGGCAAATGCAACTGTGACTTCCGCTCACCATAATAATCCTTGATTTTGTGAAAGCCAGTCAGGAAAGGGAAAGAGTATTTTATGGTTTCTTTATAGACGCTATTAGTTTGTTTACAGCTTCAATTAGAGAAATTGATGTTCACAGTCAATACCAACCCTGCCCATCAAAGAATCTTTGGTCAAGAAACAAGGTATGCTCTGTCACATCGACTGAGGATGTGGCAGGCATAAGCACCAAAGAAAATCCTAAGCTAGCTGACAGCTGTACACACACAGACAGGAGCTCGTTAGAAGCCCCCTTTGTGCGCAGCATCTCCTCCTCTCCATCTGGACTTAATCAAGTCAGCAAATTAGAAAAATAGAGAGGATCCAAAAAGTCTCCAACACGCACATTTCCTGCTGAAGTCTATTTATATACGTTCTGAAACAGACAGGTTTTAAAGCACCTGTGTTGTCTCAGAAACACTTTTTGCCAAGCACAACCTGTGGACAGTAGCTGGCTCTGGACACCCGTCTGAGCACATATGGCTCAGATGGAGCAAAATAAAATGCACTCTTTTAAGAAGAGGGGAAGAGAAAACATTTACTCTAGAAAGATTTCTTTATGCAGCCCAAATATTGCAAAACTCAGAGCCAGCACTGGCTCTGAGGTGGTGAATAGCAATAGTTCCGTTCAAGAAAGACTTCAAAACAGGATTTCCTCCAAAGACGCAAATTCTTGGTTAGAGTCCTGAGCTTCCTCAATACGCTCATTCATTCACAGATCTCTTATGTGCCTGCTACATACGTGCCAGGCCCTCTTCTCAGGAGTCCCATGGGGCGAGAGGGTCAGAGAACGCAGGGTGCATTTTGGCAGAAGACAAAAATATCCGGCTTGCTTACCTTTGACTCATTTTTAAAAGAGACAATGCTTTTCACTGGATGGAGATAATGCAAACACAAGTATTCCTGGGAGAAATAACACACTGATATAAATTTAATGACCAGCGTCAGATTCTATTGTGAGACCAGAGTTTAATAGGAGAATATTTCTAGAGAAAACAGCTGCCAGTCGGGGAAAGAATAAATAGAGAAACAAAAGTTGCATAAGCGGCGATCTGAGGGACTCAAAGGTCTTTCTCATCAATATTGATTGGATGGCAATTTACTCAATATTTCTATGTGCCTAAAACACATTCTATTGTTCAACTTAAAGAAAAAATAAAACACCAGAATACCAGATTTGAGAAATCTGCAGGTATGTATGTGTGTTTTCAAGACATGGTACTGAAATGTTAATAATTTTTGATAGATTTAATTATTTTTATAGAGATACTATAGGAGCTCACTAGCTAAGGAACCTGGACAGGGCTCCTCAGCATCAACCTACTCCTATTCATTCTCTCTAGGCCATGCAAAGTGCAACTTCAGGACCCCTGATGGGGTGACCATCAGATCTGGTTCATGTCCGTTCTGGGGTCAGCTCTGGCGTATAAAAGAACCACCGGGAAGTCTTCCGAGAAATGCAGATTCCCTAGTAGATTCTGATTTTTGAATATGTAAAAAGCATCCTGGACGATGCCGAGCAGACTTTGAGAACCACTGGTGTGAGCCAGCAATGGAGAAGCAAGTGCCGAGAAGATGGAAGAACATCCTTTATTCTAGGTCTGATCTACTCAATAACCTCAACCTACTTTCTGTAATACTTAAATTCAGGTAGGTAGAAAGGATGGACTAAAATTAAGATGTCCAGGAATAAACGCTCTAAAACTAGGCATAAATAGTGCATCTGATCTTGTTTTCTCTGGCTCAACTTTGTGCTGTAGAAGACAGGGACAGTCTGTCCCAGGGGTCAGCAAACTCTTGACCACTGTGTTTTTGTACAGACAGCAGCTGAATGGTTCTGAAAATTTTAAAATGGTTGGGAGAAAAAAAGTGAAGGAAGAAAATTTCATGCTATGTAATGTTACATGAAATTCAAATTTCAGTCTCCATAAACAAAGCCTTATGGGCACCCAGCCACATACTGTCTAAGGCTGCTTTCACCATACAATCGCAGAGTTCAGTGGTCCCCACAGAGACACATGGCCCGCAAACCTGAAAATATTTGCTAGCTGGCCCTGCACAGAAAAGCGTGCTGACTCCCCATCTGTAGGACAAAATCCGAAAGCCTCTGGAGGGCGCACAGGGCCCTCCTGGGCCCGGACCCTCCACCTTTACAACCTCACTGCCTGGGTGCAGTGCTTCAGTTCACACTCTTCTCAACTCTTCCTGTGAACACAGGGATCGATGCTTGGAGCTGGTAGGCTGCTCTCCAGCCAGTCAGACCACCACAGTTCCCACTAGTTTGGGGATATTCTTCTAAGAGGCGGCTCGGTTACTCCAAAACCATTTATGCCAGCAATACCTGTTTTAATCATGTTATTTAGATAAAATTTTACAGAAGATAATGGATGGAAAGAGAAAGAATATGATTATTTTCATGAAACCTAAGTTAAATGTTTAAGGAAAACAAAGTGAGTGGCTAAAAATAATCAATCAAAAAATAAAAGCAAAAACATCAATCACCTAAAGTTGCTTAGGTGACAGAGAGGCAACGGAAAAAGACTGAGAAGGAAAAATATAATTTATCAGTACCCAGATGGTTAGCGATCAGATTTTACCGAAATTCTTTTTAAGTTCTTACTGGATTTTAGAGAATCTGAAACTGAAAACCATTGATAATGAGTTCTGGGTGTGTCCCTCTATCTAAAGATTGCAAAATACATGAAAAAGCATATTTTTAAAACATTTAACCTTTTTAACTAACTCATTCAGTGAAGTGAGCAACCATGAATCTCAGTCCTGTCCAGTAGACGGTTTTCACCATCATATGCTGACCCCCACACTCCCTGTTGTTTCACAGACAGCCGTTTCCAGCAGGGTGGATTTTATCCCCCTTGTGAAGATGATGAAGCTTGACCAGGTCTCAGAGCTCATACGAGGTATGTTCAACCCCAGGCAGCCCGTCTCTGTGACAGCATCCGGATCCCTCTGTCATTCCAACTCCAGAGAAGCCAGAAGTAAAAAATATTTACAATTACAAAAATTGTAAATATTTTTGCTATTTAACACTTCACCATGGGCTACGCAAGAAAAAAATTCATTTAAACTTGGAAGCTTAAAAATAAAAATTCATATTATTGAGAATTAACACTCTCAGGAAAGCGACTGATCCAAAGTTCCATTCCGTGTCCTAAACATCAGTGAAATTGTGACATCTGAATACTCAAACAAGCGAACGGCTCAAACAAGTGATTTGGACAAACAGGGCCTGAGGCATCCACTCAAATGATGCTTCTGAAGTTTTCATCCCAAAGCCTGCACTTTAGGAGTCTCCATATGTCTGAACTAAAGCCCAAGGCAAGCCGGTGGGCTGGGACCCCAACAGGGATCTCAGGACCGCCACTGCATGCAGTTAGAGGAAGACATCACACAACTTGATCTGGCGGCTGGTTCAGTCATCTCTCCCCTTCTCTGTGTCTGAACACTCATCTGTGGAACACAGCAGCAAACAACACCGCAAACAACAGTATTTTTTACTCGAAATAAAAGTCAAATCACACACAATTGTAAAGCAACGTCAGAACACAAAGCTATACATGTTGTGAACTTTGAACGTGCATTCTAGCTTGTCACAAAAGTATTTGGGGCAATACAAACAAGTACCACCATTTAAATACCCCATTTACAAAAAAAAACCCCATATCTGTAGTGACATTCCTGAGAAACTATCCTAGAGAACAGGGAGCCAGGTACTCAGGCTGACTGGCCTTCTGACGCTGGCTTCTGCTTTTAGTTGAGGAATTAGCCTCCACAGGCAGCTCTTGCCTCCCAAGGCACTGGGTGGCTACATTCATGGCATATTTATAGTGGCCTGAATTATCTGATATTTAAAGTCAAGATCTAAAAATGAATTATAAGTTTTGCCAAAGAGATAAACTAATTTTTACCTACTTGAAAATAGTTAACTTGACTAAATATTTTAATAATCAAATACAATTCCAAAAATACTTAAACACTTCATTAGTTTTAGAATTCAAACACCTCATAAAACTTATTTTAGGTGTTTATATTTAAAAGTGTCACTGACCCACCCTGGTTCACGGACTCAGTACTCTCTTCTCCGGTGATGCCAACTCCAGCTATAGCAATTCGACCTCCGTCATCCAAGTGCAATCTTCCTCAGTCGTTGGTTCTTGACCCTCTTCTCTTCCGATCCCTCACCTGTACTCTTCCCCTTGATTCATGATATCTCAGCTTCTAATACTGCCTCCTTCACAATTTCTCCCAGTCTGTGCCTCAGGCCAGGGCATCTCCTTTTCCCCTGTTTAGGGCCCCCATCACCAGTTGTGCACCTTCTCGGGCTGCTGCACACCTGCCCACACACACACACCAGGACCTCAGACTCACACCTTATTTCAACATCTTCCTTCCCAAACACACTTCTCTTACCATAGTATCATCACCATCCTATCTCCCAGGCAAAGAGTAACACTCTTTTTCAACTGTTCCTTGTTGTCCCCACATCCTGCAGTTGGCCATGGCCCTTCGACTACACTTTTGAAAGAACTTTCAGTATGTTCCTCTTTGTCCATGGTCACGGCTGCCACTCTAACATCAGGTTTTCAAGGGACTTCTGAGATACTTTTATTAGAAAGAATTACTCTCTAACACAAATAATTTGACTTGATTTTCAGGTCTGCATTTTTATATAGGCTGGTTTTGCCCGAAATAGGAAACACCAATATTCACATTAAAGTAAAAATAATCTGGCTGCGTAATTAAACTCTTTACTGCCTGAACCTCCAGCTTCTTGAGTGACAGAGCAGTGAGAAGTGATGCAGGCAAGAATGAAGAGAAGGGAAAAGGATCCAGGACAGGTGGAGAGAGGAAGCACGTGGGACAACAAAATGTTTATTCCACTCCAGATGCATGAGAGCACCAGGGAGACACCACAGTGGAACAATGCGAGAAGGTCCAGGTTTGCCCAAGATCCGGGACTGCCCTAGCTGTAGGACAAGGCTTGTGGGACATTGGGAAGATGCCAGAACAAAGCTAAACTTGTATCCAGATCTTGAACACAAATTCCCTTGAACCTACTATTTGTTTCTCTCTCTACCGGTAACACCAGGTGAAACTGAAGAAAGTTCTCAGGGTCCAGGTTCAGAATTCCCTTTTCACAATGAGAATTTTTTTTAGTTTGTTTGGGAATCCCCGTGTCCACAGGGCCACATCCAACAGGCCAGGCTGCTCCAGAGTTCTGGTCCCAGTGGCACCATGCCCACTAGCCATCCCACTTTCCAGAGCAGAGCTGTGGGGAGGGTGGGCAGGGCAGCGAGGCTCCACCAGGGAAATGAGATGTGCCTTTATGCAAGGAAAGGCCTAGAAAAAAACAGAAAGTGTCCCCCAAATCCAGGAGTAGCTTACCAAAAAAGGCCTGGGAGATGCCACGGCGGGGAAGAGATGTCCTCAGCTATCAGTTACCCATTAGAGTTACTCGGGAAACTTATAAAAGATCTGGGGGCCCAGGCTGCCAGGACCAAGGCCCTGGGAGAAGGAGGTCCCTCACCAGCCACGTGCTCCTCCACCAGCTGGGAGCTCTGTGACTCCCTCAGGCATCACCACCTGGCCAGGACAAAGGTAAAAACAATCATCCAGGAGGTCAGAAATTCCTTCTAGCTGTTACCTCATAGCGAGAAATAAAAAGCAACCATCTCCACTTGTTCTGAGGAGAGTGTTTTTGAAGCCTAACTACATTTTGTAGCTCCAGGTCTCCCCACTTCTATTTTCTTTTTCCTCTAATCTGCCCAGCTAGGGCTTTGTGGGTTTCTGTTTCAATAAAGAAGGCTTTATCATCTTATTGACTCTTCAACAGCAGTCAGCCCTGTTCTTTTTCCTAGGAAACACCCCTTGGTTTCCACAAATAAAAGCTACTGCGATAAACACTGGGAGGAGTGTTGTTTGAAGAAACAAATATCCAGCAACATCACAAAGCTCATAAATGAAGATGTGCGCTTCCTTTTGGTTACAATAAAATAGGAATTCTAAGGAATCTGTTTTAATTAACATACACAGATGTGGGCTGGACAGCCAGCACCCATGAACAATACATTTCGAACCTGTGATAAGATGTTCCTTTTCTCATTCAAAGTCATTGTTACATGGAGGCTGGAGTCTCCATTGGCAGAAAAAAGCAGAATTGCTCATTTGTCCTGCTGCAGTTGCCTGGGAGTCCGGGACCCTGGGGTCCTTCTGGGAAAGGGGCACAGGTGGGAGGCACCCACATGTAGTGACTCACGCAGGTGGCCACAGGTGGGAGGCCTGCCTTTGTCCCTCCAGTTCTATTTCCCAGTGCCTTTTGTGAAGCTGGAGGGAAGGGGTGGGCTGGACTCTGGTGTTGACCAGCCCCTGAGGTGACTGGGCCACAGGGGAGGGGTTCCCAAGCCCTGGAAAGAGCCTGGCTTTCAGCATACAAGCGAGAGGGGGTCCTGGGAGGCTTATAATAAAGAGTAACCCTGGCTGGATAAGAGTTGTAAAGTGGAACAGATGACACTGTAGACCATGAGTGGCTAATGCAACACCAAAGTCACGGACACCCATCTAGGAGTGCTGACCATGCTGAGATGGTGAGGGCCTGACAGAGATGATACCACAAGCCTCCTGTCTAGCTCCAGTGAGGCCCCATTATCAACCTCTTCAAGGGCTGCAGCCAGGAGGCTGGACCATGGGCCAAACTAAGGCAGGAAACCCTACTGCCCAGGGCAAGGCCTTCTCTGCTGCCATGACAGCCAAAGATGTCCTGGGATCCAAGCAAATGTCAGGTTGAGTCAAAAACTGCTACATCTGTGCTTGCAAAGCTCTCGACAAGTCCTGTGGCCCAAGAACTGCCCATGCCTCTCCCCTACAGCTTGCAAGCTGTGGCTACACCTGAAGACAGTAGCAGCTAGGCCTCCACACCATAGTGGCCAGGTTCACTGTTGGCAGACAGGCAGCGTATAGACCCAGGCGGCCCACCCCAGCCATCCTTAGCCCTGATTTCCCTGGAGAATGTCACTAGTGAAACCCTCACACGGGGAGATGATTAAACCTACTGCCCCCTAAGGATGCTGATGAGGGAAGCGAGCCAGTAACTGGGCTTATAAGGATGCACCTCTGGCCTGAAATTACATGGAGGCTTCTTCTATCTTAAAACTTCACGGAAATAAATGGGCAAACTGTACACTATAAGAATTATATCTCCAAAAAAGCTATTATTTTTTTAAATATGGAAATAGAATGTTTATTTCAATGTAAGTTGCTCTACCTACTAAAACTCTTAAGTCCCAAGGTAAACTTCTAAAATCTCTTGAACCTTCATTGATGGATACAACCTTCCTTGTTTCAGTGGAAAATAAAATTTTCTTTACAAGAGACACTTTCCTTCCTTTCCTCATTTACCTTTTCTTGAGAAAGTATTGATTTATATGGCCAAAGAGGTGGTGGGTTATACACGGGAGATTAAACTGATAAGTAAATATATTGAGGATACTGGGTGCCAGGTTCTCGGTGTCAGAGAATGGAGTCACCGATATGGAGAATGGGAAGGCTGGGATGGGGCAGGGATGCTGGACTGGGAGGCATGGGGTGAACCCAGGAATGTGTGTGTCCTGCTCTGAGAGGTGTGTGTGTGTGTGTGTGTGTGTGTACATGAGTCTATGCATGTGTGTGTACGCACATGTGTAGACATACACATGAATACAAGGAGGGAAGAGAGAGGGTACAGCAAATGTAAATGTTAATAACTGGGGAATCTGAGTGTGTATATGGAAATTTTTTGTAGTAATAGTGTAACTTCCCCGTAAATTTAATGTTATCCCAAAATAACAAATTAAAAACTATATTGGTAAAAGATGGAGAAAGGACTATTGAACCACACAATGATACTGGATAACTTCTGTCTGATACTGCAGACTCCTCACAGGAGCCAGCACCCTCACCCCTCTCCCCGCCCTGGGCTTCTGTCAGGTCTCTACTGAGTCTTGGCCCCCGGTTCCTCTGTTTCTGTCTGCTTGTATGTCCTTCTCCAACCTCTGGTCCTTCTCCCTTCCTCCTACATTTCATGGAATGACCCTCTCTCTTTCTTTCTCTTTCCTGCCTGCATCCCCACTTACTAAATATAGAATTCAATTCCAAGTGGAGTTGGAGTATATCTTTAATTATTCAGATGTATAAAATATAAACATTTAAGAAGAATTTGAGAAACTTTATTTAAAATAATTTTTCCCAAGTAAGAGTTATGGTCACATTTTTAATCTTAGAATTCTAATGAGTGAAAAGTGTTTTTAATTTTTCTCTCTGGATAAAAAACATTTTTTTTTACTTTGTATGTGGCCTTTTCTTTTTTTCCTGTGGCACAGTCATCCTTAATTTAAAAAAAAAAGATTCTGTGGCCCTAATTCACCTCAGTGATCTATGTGTATATAACTAATAAAAAATCAGAGATGGACAGACAATGGATGGATGGACGGACAAATGATGGACGGACTGAGATGTTGATGGATGGATGGACTGCTGGACAGATACAGGATGTACCATTCTTGCTTCACTACAGCCTCTGTACTGTCAAATGGAGGTGATAGCAATGGCACCCTTCCAGGGTTGCTATAAGAACTCAGTACAATAATGTCCTGTGAATGCACAGAGCCTAGAGCTGATACATAAGCAGTCAATAAACGATCGCAGATGGTTAGACAGATTATCTCCTTCCTACCCAGAATCTCAAAATGCTTTTTGCACTCCCAGCCATATTCCAAAACTGCCTCTGAGGAACTCGAGAAGTGGGAGAGGATGCACTTGTCAACATTATAGAGCAGATCAGCTTCATGTTATATACTGCTCTCCTCTTTGTGCCTACAAGAGATGCACCACAGACACATAAGAAGCATGGTCCCCAGGGACTTCTAAAGGACAATCATATCTCTGTACTAAAAACACGGGGGCTGACCTGGAGTGCCAGCACCACAAATACTAGAACATAAATACCCATATCAAATGATAAATAAATTTAGAAGCTCCACATTCACAGAAACTCCCACACACATGCATGGCAAACAGGGTAAATTTGATCCGGAGATAAACTGAATTGAGCACTAGGCACAGTAAGAGCAGAGACCAGCAGTACTCCCATTTATGGCCACTCATGAACCCTCCTTCCAGCCACACAAGGGGACAGCGGTGCTATAATTAGACAGAGCCATGATTCCAAACACCAGAGCCAGTAAATTACAGATCAGCCTCTTCCATGGGCTATTCTCCCAAAAGCAAACAACAGCAAAAATAATAAATGAAATGACAGCTATAATCAATAGGACCGGGAAAAAAAGTCTCTCCACATGCGACGTCTGTTTTTCTAGATGATTTCAATTTGGAGGTAATTGGCAATCACAGAAATAGCCAAGCTGCTGCACATGCTGAGCGTGTTGATTCCCCACGCTTCCTTCTGACCAATCCCTGTGCCCACGCAACATGCGGCCTGCGGGGGAAACGCTCTGCTCCCAGACACTTGTGGTCTGCTAGGAATGGTACAGCTGTTGTCATTCTCAGATTACCAGCAGTCCCCGCCCTGTGTACCAGCCCAGCACTGAGAGGCTAATAATTGTAAGGCTTAGCTTTTTAAAAACCCAGTAATTTATTGAGAGGTCACATGACAATTTTATGTGAAAGGCATGGTACGTATTTTAAATTCTAAATTAAACTGTGACGTTTTCATGTCTTTAAAATTATCTACTAAATCCCGATTCATTCTAATAAAGAATATATAGCCCAGAAAATGCATGAAAGAAACTAATTAACCCTCATGTCCTAACTACAAAAAAGAAATGTGTGGCATATACTGCAGGTACTTCCAAAAGTGCCTCACACTTTCTGTGATACTTTTATTTCCTATTTTTAAATAAACTGCCTAAAATCTTCAACTATATTTATCAGGCCCTACAATTATTTTAGTATGAGATTCTTCGGCAATGCATTTTCTAATAGACTATTTTTTAGAGCAGTTTTAGATTCACAGTAAATTCAGCAGAAGGTACTGAAAGTTCTCATATACCTCCTGCCCCTGGACATGCAGAGCATCCTCCACTATCAACATCCCACAACAGAGTGGTGCCTTTGTTACAACTGATGAACCTACAGTAGCCTCATTATCACCCAGAACCCACAGTATACACTAGGGTTTACTCCTAGTGTTGCACATTCTATGGGTTTAGACAAACGTATAACGACATGTATCCATTATTATAGTATCATACAGACTAGTTTCACTGCCCTAAGACTCATCTGTGCTTCACCTATTCATCCTTCTCCTCCCTAACCACTGGCAATCACTCATCTCTTTATCTCCATAGTTTTATGTTTTCCAGAATGTCATATAGTTGGAATCACACAATAAGTAGACTTTTCAGATGAGCTTCTGTCACTTAGTAATATACATTTAAGGTTTCTCTATGTCTTTTCATGGCTTGATAGCTCATGTCCTCTTAGTGTGGAATAATATTCCATTGTTTGGATGTAACAGGCACACGCATTTTAAAAGAAAAAGGAAAATGTTCAGATGAAATAAACACACTGTTCCCTGTCTCTCCATCTCAATGAAGCCATAAACTCTGGCCAGAATGCAAGTATCAGCTACTTGAGGACTCTGAGAAGTAAACTGTAACAGGTGAATTGGGGATGAAGACCAGAATTCACAATACCCCCAAACTTGTGCTAAGTTTATCCTTTTTTTTCCAGTCCTGAACTCAATCCAGCCTGAACCCTACACAAGACAAAGGGATGAACAGACAGAGCATGCCCCAGAAAAAAGCCCTTCCACGCCAGCTCCAAGAGAAGGAAAGGGGTCTCCTAATGCTCAGAAAGAACAGAGGGGTTCTCCTGTATGCTCATCTCTGTTCTTTTCAGCCCAGTCCCCGGGCGGTCCTGCAGTGGCAGAGGAGCTGACAGCAGCAGGGACCCAAAGGAGCCTGAAACTCTGAAAGAGGAACCCTCTTACCTCCCATCAGATGTCCTAAGAGAGGGGAGTAAATCCCACTGCTTTTTCCACTCTCTGTTCTTCTGCTACTTTGTCCCAGAAGTGGACAGTCACAGGAAGTACATCTCAAAGCAGGGTAAATAAAGCCCCAGTTTTCTGGCTGGAGAATCAAAGCAGAAGCTTAGAGAAGCAGATAGCACTGGAGAGACTGGAGAGAAAGGAGGAGCCCAGGACACTCCATGAAGTCATTTATGAACTCCTGATGGCATCTCTGACAATGCCACACATATGTGGATCTGACCTTTGGGAGCATATCATACACTTTGAGAAGTGAACTATGAGACAGACCACCACACAGGTCCCAGACTGGCCACTGGCAGCACAAACATGGGAAAGATCTGAAAGCACTGTAAAGGCTTTGTAAGCAGAACTAACACTGAAACGATAATCATGGAAAGCTTGGCATAAATTTAACCATGAACCCAGTTGAATCAATTGCCTGATAAAATAAAAATGTCAACATTCTCACAAGATTTAAATAAAATCCAAAATACCATAACAGAATATTCAAAATGTCTAGGAAACAATCCAAGTTTGTTTGTCATATGAAGAAGCAGGAAAATCTCAACTCACATGGGAAAAGGCAACCAACAGATGCCACAACAAGATGACCCATATATTGGAATTGTCTGATAAAAACTTTAAACAACTGTTATAAAAGCACTCCGAGAAGTGAAAGGAAACACACTTGAAATGAATGGAAACAGAGGACACCTCAGCAAAGAAATAGAAGATATAAAGGAGAACTAAGAGGAAATTTTAGATTTGCAAATACATAATTGAAATAAAAAACTCATTGGATGGGCTCAAAAGCAAACTCACTGATTTTGAGTTACATATCAATAGAAATTATCCAATCTGAATAACATAAATAGAAATGACTGATGAAAAATAAACACAGACTCAGGAACCTATAAGACAACACCAAAAGGTCTAACATGCATGTCAACAAAGTCCTGGAATGAGAGGAGAAAGAATATAATCCAGAAAAAAAAAAATTCAAGAAACAATAGCGGAAAACTCCCCAAATTTGGTAAAAGGCATAAACCTACAGATTCAAAAAGTTCAGCAAACCCTATACAGGACAAATACAAAGAAACCTACACCCATAGATGTCCTAATCAAACTACTTAAAACTAAGCACAAGAAAAAAATTCTGAGAGCAACCAGAGAAATCCACATTTCTTATATGGAGATGATTTGAAGGACTACAAAAACTATAATTGCTAGAAGGATGTAGAAAAAGAGTTTTAAAGTACTGAAAGAAAAGAACTATTAAGTCCAGATTTCTATATCCAGTGACTATATCTTTCCTGCATGAAGGTGAAATAAAGAAATTCCCAAATGAAGGCAAGCAAAGAGGATTCATTGCCAGCAGAACTGGTCTTAAAAACCGCTAAAATAAGTTCTTCAGAGAGAATGGAATTGATCTGAGAAGGAAATTTGGAACCTGAAGAGCAACAGAAATGATAAACATCTTGGCAAACATAATAGACTATTCTTCTCTTCTTGAGTTCTTTAAAATATAGATGTAACACATAACCATGGATGGT